AGAAGGGGACAAAGGTAATGAGGATCTCATCATTAAATTACACCACCTGTATAAAGGCATATGAGGTCCCCACACTAATATTAGGGAGGCTATGCAAAGCCACCATGTCCTCACACACTTCCTCATCTTTCCACACTGGGCCTTTCTGCACAGAGCACTTGTAAAGGCTGAAACATGCTTTGGATGAGCACTTACTGTCCTGTGTGATTCAGGGTTGGAACACAAGTGTTTCATGTTCCTAATGTTCTCGATCGCAGTTTATTAAAAACCAGAGAAGTGGGTCCTGGTGCTTCTATATGGCTTTTTTTTTTTTTTTTTTTTTTTTTGGTTTATTGGCTCTATTTGCTTGTAAAAATATGTTTTCAATTACACTTAAAACATTTGATTCGAACGACTTTGGGAAAGTCAGATGTATTGTTTTCCCTGCCCACATCACATACGTTCTGGTTTACTAGGGACTTAAGGTGCAGGGTGCACTGACGTCAGACAGCAGTGATAGAACAGGGTCTGGGAGGAAGGTACAGAGTAGTCCTAAGCTATAAATAATGGAGGAGTAACAAAAATCAGTGTTTATTCTGGACTGGCTGTAAGCATGACAGATTACAGGCATGGCCATAAATGACAAAACTATATGTAAAACCCAGTGGAAAAAAAATGAGACTGCTTGGAACACAAGATCAAAAGAAGAAATGTTGGTTTGAGGTGAACTTCTTTTCCTCAGATAGAACTTTCTAGATTTTATTTCAGCCAGCCATATCTAATTATTTTTTTGACAATAATGCAAAATTGGAAAGGGCTTTAAAACCACAGGCTCAATGGGGGCATAAAGGGGACATTTTTGTTTTTCTCAGAGAAGTAATAGCTGACAATAAATTCTTCATAGTTATTATTATTAGCCTTTTTATCTGGGTCCTGGACAAGAAAATGTTTTATTGAATGCTGGTTAAATATTCATCTGTCCAGACAGAATGCATAGATGGATTATTCTGGCCATGCCCCAACCAGGAGAAGGAAGGCCATGGTGAAAAGTGCCATGAAAGTACCCCCCACCCCCATTCCCATACACATGACCCTGGTTGGAACCAAGGGCCAACCACAAGTCAGCTATGCATTATCCATGAGTCATATATCATATGAAGAGCAACTGGGGGCTCACAGTGCTGAGCTAGCCACCACCAGGGAAGAATATTTGCTTCCTACTCTTGTTCTCCCCACCTAACTAGCTATTGTGGTTGTCCCCATTTCCAGGCTAGGACTTAAAGTGCATGCGTATCACCTGGGATGTTGGTTAAGCGCAGGCTTTAGGCTAGATTTCAAACACAAGATTCTAACTCATTAGGGCTAGCTGGAGATGAGAAATCACAATGCAGGTCATCATTGGACCAAACTATGACGAATTCTGGAAAACTCTGCCCAGGATGAGCAGAGAGGGGACTGGCTGGGTGTTGTGAGGATCAGATTTTGCTTGCCGTGATTGTTAAAGGCCTTAGACCTTTCTTCATGCCTTGCACTATTGATGCCTGAAGACTTCTTGATTTTGAACTTCTTTGACCAGACTTGTGACCATTCACTTTTTCTAGAACCCTGGTCAATTCTTGAGCCTGTTACTTTGTCTCTGATATCTGTACTTCTCTGATTGTTATTTGTGCATCCCTTTATTCATTCTTTCCTTCAGCCACTATAGAGTACCTGTACTTGGTTTCAGGCTCTGTGCTGAGGGCACATTGCTTATAAGACAGACTCAACTGGGGTCATCGTGGGATCAGCAGGAGAGACAGTTAATTAAAACAGCTACAGTGAGAGTATTTGGTGCCATAGAGGAATATGGGGCAATGGGAGCCTGTCCAGGGGGTCAAGGAAGGCTTCTGGGAATGTTTAGAGAGTTGCGAGGTAATGAGAAGGCAGAGTGTTCCAGGCAGAAAGATAGAGCATGTGAATGAAAGCCCTTAATGATAAGAGAGAGGGCACTTTCAGAGAAAACTGTGATTATAGTATAGAGTGGTATTGGTGACACCAGGTGGTGTGGCAAGAAATGGATCTGGAAAGAGATGGGCAGTCCCAGACCAGGCCTTGTAAATCCTATGATAGAGTTTGGACTTTAATGTGAAAGCCATAAAATATCTCTGAAAAATTTTACACATTATTTTTAATCCTTACCTAAGGATATGTTTGTATTGATTTTAAAGAGAGAGGAAAGGACAGAGAAAGAAACATTAATGTGAGAGAAACATCAACCGGCTGCCTCCCATATGCACCTTGATCAGGGATTGAACCCAGAACCTCGGCATGTGCCCTGAGTGGGAATCGAACCCATGACCTTTTGGTTCCGGATGGGGCTCCAACCAACTGAGCCACACCAGCCAGGGCTGAAAGATTTTAAACATGGTTGAGTCACAGTCCAGTCTGCACTGAGAAAGGCTATAGCTGTGATGGGTAGATGGTGCAAATGATTCAGATTGAAGTTCTGGATGAAGAACACTCAGAGAATGTGTGAGGAAAGAGAGTTAGGAAGAGAAATATCTCTTCCACTGTAACATGAGGAAGGAGAAAAGGATAGAATGGCCTGCAGGGAAGATGTGCTTGGTAAGACAGTTGAGGATGTTTTTATAGAAATTTCCTGCTAGGGAGAAAAGACACTTGAGATGTCCTTAGAGAGTTTGAGATGTCCTAATGAGAGTTTCACACTGAGATAAATTCTTCAGTTGGGTGATATGTAGGATAAGCCAGGGACTTGGTCGTATTAGCCAAAGAATGACATTAACTATTTAGAAACAGTCCAGACTATTTTTTTCAGATTGTGACTGTCTTTAGCATTTAAAATAATAATAATAAAAACCCAACTATAAAACATTAAGATGTCAGGGACGTACTGGGTCTCACAAATGTATGAATGTATGTGAAAGCCCTTTGTATACTATAAAGTTGTGTGTAAGACTGTGACAGACTGTCAGGAAGCAACATCTAAGATAGCAAAAAGCTTGACATCTGCTCAACCCGAGAATGTACTCATGGATTTCAGCATCAGAAATCTCTTAGTGAAGACTCTCGGGGCATCTTCAGCTTTCTGAACCATGTTAGAACTTTTCCTCCAAAAAAAAAAAAAAGGATGAAGCCAACTTTTCTAGGCACAAAGCTACACCATTTTCCTATCTGTCCTAAAAGCAAGTTAAAATGAGAAACCATCTTAAGGAAAAAAAACAACAACCAATTCCCAGTTTCTTTGAGAGGCAGAGTTCAGCTCCTTCTTTTGTCAGAAAGTTCTAACAACAGAGAAGGGCTTCAGTGGGGACTGCTTGCCCAAGCAGATTTTTCTCACAAATGCATAACACTGGACAGATTTGGACAGATTTGGAATGTGCCATTCTTTTTGCAAAAACGTTTTTCCACTCTTGGCCTTCCAAAACCCAGAGTTCAAAGCTTCACTACTACTTTTTTTCTGTGGGAGCAAATTGACCACAACACTATTAGAAAAAGACGTGAGTCAGTGTGTTTGGCTCTTTGTTTCTTTGTGGTGTTCTCTGGAAAGAAAAGATTGTAAGGAAAGAAAAACGGGGAAAGAAAGACTAACTTCCTTTGCATCTTTTCCTTGAGGGGTGTTTGCTTAAAAAAATAACAACCCCAAACCAGGGTATTATTGAGATTTATATTAAGTATTTTCAACTTTTGAAACAGGAACAAAGTCTACCATGCCCTTGCGAGGTAAGCTTTTGTTTTTCTCATTATACAAATAGATAAATTGAGTCACTGAGCAGTGAGGTAATTTCCCTGGTCTCAGATGCATTAGATGAAAAGAAAGTATGAACTCAAGGTTTTGGATTCCAGGTACCCCCTTTGATCATGTTTTTATTGGAAGCTGACAATCAAAATGTTAAGAATCCATTTTATTGTATGTTAGGGAGATTAAGTTTTTCAGCTTAACAGGAATTTTACATCATATAATTTATACATACAGTTGACTGTTGAACAACACAGATTTGAACTGTGGGGGTCCACTTATACATGGGTTATTTTCCCTGTACTCTTTTAATTGACAATTGGGAGTCCACGATGAAGAAGGCTGTGTGCATAGTTCTACACCATTTTATACAGGGGACTTGATATCCATGGATTTTGATGTCTGTGAGGGGGTCCTGGAGTCATTCCCTGACATATACTGAGGGACAATATAAGTTTTGGGGGAGTTGAAAGTTTTACATTGTGCAGGGGGTTGGCGTCCCAACCTCTACATTGTTTAAGGTTGAAATGTATATACACATGTACATATGTGTGTGTGTGTGTGTGTGTGCATACACACTCATACATATTAGGATGGTTTTTCTCGACTAAACTTTATAGAATGAGACATTTTGGATAATTAAAAATTTCCCAATGGCAGATATTTTACATGCATAAGGATCAAAATATGCCTGTTTTGATACATTTCAATTATATAATTTTCTTAATTCTCAAAAGATGCTACTGAATGTGCCAATATTTATGTTCAGCTGTAATTTAGTGATTCCCTTAGGAACTTTTTAAGGCTCTATGACTGTCTCCTCAATGAATGCCTTTATGCTTTTAAAATTCTTATCTTTTTATAGCTTCTTTGTTCCTTTATTGCTAGGCTTCCATACCTGCTGTCAGGACATTTACTTGTAGCCTTTTTCCTTTTTAAAAAAATTCATCTTTATTGTTGGGAGTATTTCAGACGTACCCCTCCCCCCACATCATTGGCACCCTCCTTCCTGCTCCTGCACCCCCTGCCTTCACCACACTGTTGTCTGTGTCCATTGGTTATGCATATATGCATGTAAGTACTTTGGTTTATCTTATCCCACCCTCCACCCCTTCCCTCTGAGGAACTCAAATCTGAAATGTACTTAGCACTCAGAGGATCCTGTTTGCTAGAATTATTTGTAAAGTAGAAGTAAATAGGCTTGAAGTGAGGACTTCATGTGATTGCTTATAAAAATGAACCTTAATGACCACTGTTTTCCACTCTCTGAGTCAATCTGACTTACTTTTGTCCTCAGCAGCGTTCAATAGGGTAGAAGTTTTCGGAAATTGGAAATCTAGAAAAATGAAAAGTTACCTTAAATATATTTTAATTCTAAAACTCAACTTGGAATCATTTAATTTTTCTCCACTGAATAAGATATAAGATAAGATAACATTCATCTAACAAGAAATTGAAAGCAAAGTGCCTGACTGTCCCAGACAGAACCTCGGGATTTCTCAGAGGCACAGGGTTGTCCTTGGTACCAACAGTATTCATTGTACTTGTTGACAACAAAATTAAGGAGATTTCATAACAATTTTAATTGAAAGAATACCAGATAAAAGACAGTTTACTGTTTCATTCATCTTTATATATATGTGCTGTTTCATTCATCTTTATATATATGTGTTGAATGTCTGAAAATATATCTAATAAGGCGCTGACTTGTTACTGTTTTTTGGCACCTAGAAAGTGGAACAGAGCTTGAACTTATTATCCTTGACAGTCATTGAGTGAGAGCCTTTTGTTGGTGCAGGTAGACATGCTATGAGAGGACACTGGCCCCAGGGAAGGCCCACCACACCTTGATTGTCATGAAAAATGCACAAAAAGTACTCTCCCCCTTTGAAGGGAAAGAAGAAAAAGGGTTTTTACATTCCCTGTGCATTTATGCTCCAAGTGGCTTTTTCAGCTGCAAACCATGGGTAGAGGTGAAACTGTCCTTGATGGTGTCTAGCACAGGGTTTGAAACATGGTAGGTCCCAGTAGCTGTTTGTTGAATGAATAAGTGAAATTAAGATTGGAGTACTAAACCAACAAAACTAGGGTAACTGAACTTGTGGGACAAAATTTTTCAAAACTCTTATGTTCTTTCTTCATTTTTATGAACTATAATGCCTTCACTGTAGCTTACAATTTCCCTAATGCTAACATTGGTCCTCTTACTAGAGTTTTTTTTTTTTTTTTGAGGAAGCCTGAATTGAAAGATTTCTTGATAATTAAGGTATAGTGATAAAAGAGGTTAGGACTTTTTTAAACAGGAAAAAGAAATTTATGTAAGGTAGGATTCTGGTGTGGTGACACTGAATGCCCTTGGGTGTATGTGCGTGGCTTAGGGCGTATCACTGCATCAAAGTGCAGGGGCTCGAGTGCACCCGGGATGCGGCAGCCTCAATGGGAATCCTGTAGAGCACAGAAGCATAAATCTCCAAAAGCTCATGGAGTGAACTGAGACCTCAGTTGAGACACCCAGGGCAGCCCCATCCTTTTCCTGATGATGACATAGTTGCCCGTACATGATGTGCATTGCCATGGTGAAGGGAGGGGGGTGACCTTGAACTGGGAAAAGGTGTGCAAATCATGGAAATTTCTTCCTTTGGGGAACTGGTGGGGAGATTAAAGTAGTGCCGTTTAGTATAAGCAGACAAATAACAACAAAACAAAAACAAAAACAAAATATCAGAAATCTAAATTAGTGTATAAATAACCCATGCTGCCACCATCACAAGCTAATAGCAGCACCATGGAGCAGAAGTCAAATTCATTAAATAAACTACAAGGCAAGGAGATCCTTAGTGCCCTCATTTGCAATCTGTAGAAAGACACACTTGAAGCTTCTACTCAGCCAAATGCCCACTGTGCTGGCTCTTAAGTCAGCATTCAATAATCAGTAGTCGTGCCCTGGCTGGTCTTGCTCAGTGGTTAGAGCATCGGCCCGCAGACAGTACCAGGTTCGGTTCCTGCTAAGGGCACATAAATCGGTTGCGGTTTGTCCCTGGCCCGGTTGGAGTTGTTTGGGTGGTGGCCAGTCGATGTATCTCTCTCACATCAATGTTTCCCTCTCTCTCTTCCTCCCTCTCTCCCCCCAACTCTATCTGAAGATAAATGCAAAAATGTCATCGAGTGAGGATAAAAAAATAAATAAAAATAATAATCAGTAGTCATTATTATCAAATAACTTTTACTGAGCATCTTCTGAGTTCCAGACACTTTCTCACGTGTTACCTTATTAACATTCATGATGATCCTGAGTGGTAGACTTATTTTGGAGCAGAGGAAATGAAGATTCAGTGAGAGTCACTGTCTTGACCAGTGTGGCTGCATTGCTAGGTGGCAGAAGTGTGACTTGACCCCATGACTTATTATGCTAAATTTGGTGCTTTGATTCACGACACTACAGTGGCTTCTCGTAGATGATTTCGGATATTTTGTTATTTTCCCCATAAATGCATTTTGGCATTAATTAAAAGGGAGATATAAAAACATCCTTTAAACAGTACAGGCTGGTTTAAAATGGATTGCATGTTCTTTAAAATCATAAACTGTATGGAAGACAACCTACAAAAGTATTCCTGCTGATTATCAGTGGTTTGCTTACGTTGCTGGTCCTTTCACCACTGCAAATCTGTTTGTCCACAGATTATTAATAGGATGTTATGAATGATTCTTTGGGGATAAAATGTCAATGACGTAACAGTTAGAAAACTGATCTATTGGTTTCATAATCTGGTTTCATTACTTCTAAATATTTGACTTTGAGGAAGTTACTTAATCTCTCACATAGTTTCCTATCTCATAGGAAGTGATCAGGATAAAATACAGTAATATAAAAAAGAGCTTTCAGCATTCTGCTTGGCACAGAGTAAACCTCTAATACACATTAGCTGCTACTGTTGTTAATAATTTGTTTTATCTTCTTGAAAAACACATTTTTAATTACTGAATTTTGTTTACTAAAATACTCTTTACAGGTCATCCTGTTTTCCTTTGCTGCATTTTCTCATTTATGCTTCCGGGATGCTCTGGCCATTCGTGAATGTGATACTGTTAAGGCTCAGCTTGGATTAGAAGAAAGAAGAGGACTTCAGGAATGGGATGATCCAGACTCATATTCCATCGCCAATACTCACTATCTAAATGATGTTGTAAAGTTTATTTAATCTTTCTAAGCCTTCACCGCCTCCTGTATAAAATGTATATAAAATCCTTCTTTTTCTAATTCAAATGAAGGAATGTATATAAAGTACATGTCAGAAACTATAAATTTCTCTACAAAGGTTTTATTATCATCATTACTGTCTTCATGTTTAAAAATTCCCAAATTAAGATACTAAAATATTCTTATGCTGGTGTGGTGGTGATAGTAAATTTTATTTCGTAAAAACAAAAGGAGTCATGGATTCTTTTTTTAGTCACTGGCTCATGTCTGTAGATGTGTATTTTATTCATATGTATTCCAATGTGATTTAAACGCATGATGATTCTTTTACGGCTAAATATAAAAAGTTATAAGTGAAATGTTATTGCTATCTTTACCATTTACTTTAGAGCTTGTTTGTGCTGCAAATTGTAAATATTTTACAAGGCAGGGTAAAATACAGGCCCATAATTATTTCTCAATGTTGTCTGGCTCATGATAACAGGGTAAATTCTTTTATTATTTTAAAAAACTTTTCGTGAAAGGTTATTTCAGTCACTCCAAATAAACTTAGCTGTGAATGGAGAAGACACAGCTGATTGTCCTGGCTTTTTGAGAGTCTCCTTTGTCCTCATCCCATTCTTCACTGAGTCAGGAGGAAGGCATGCGGTGTGGCCAACCTCTGAAATCATTAAACATCTCCTGTAAACTGTTGCTGTTAGAGACTCACTCTGGTTTATTTTCTAAAGGCTTATTAATAAGTCAGAATCTAATCTGCAGCCAGACTGTTTGATCACTTTACTTTTGGCTTTGCCAGGCACAGGATTTTATTGCATGGTTGGCCTGTTGGCATGATAATTCCTGAAGGGCCGTTGGTAAGCCAGCAAGTGCCAGGGGCACATCATTGTCAAATTCCAAGGACATGCTACCTCCCCTGACCTGCTGGTGGAGATTTATCCTTCTTCGAAGTGCCTCACCAGAGGTTGTTCACCAGAAATAAAGACAAAAATGCTCTGGGAAAATCTATGACAAAGAACTAACTTCCTTTAGAAAGTGATGGGGTTTCAGGGAGACAGCAAAGAAAGAATCTGTTAGCTGAACTTGTTTTGTATTACTGGAGACAATCTTTCTTGGTAGAAATAGTCATATTGAAAATTGAAGAAGTTCTATATCTCATCAGGTATTTAAAACATGTTTTTCCTCCAAAAGGGAAAAGAAGAGGTGATAATAAATAACAGAACTTTCTCTTTCAGAGGCTCAGTTCGAATCATTCTTCATCTCATTTTGTTGGTATAGTGATAAAGGATCCAAGTAGTGATATAGTGCCATTCTGAGTGAGTTTAAACATTAAAATAAAAAGCAAATACCATCTGTACTATTTTATTTTAATTATTTATGTAAGGGAGACTTCTTTAAGATAATATGACAATTAGAGGAAGACCCAGTAGTCAAGCAATGCATTAAACAAAACTTTTAATAAACACTGTGGTCCTAGCATTTACTGGGGATACAAAAAAGCATCTTATTTATTCAACTCTTCCAGTAGTTAGCAGTTTATATTTGCATCAAGGAATACAAGGCACAGCACATGAAAATTGAAATATTCTGTGTTGTCCAATAGAGCAGCCACCAGCCACATGTAGCTATTTCATTTTAAATATAAAGAGATTATAGTAAATTAAAATTTAAAAACTCAGCACCTCAGTCACATTAGCCACATTTCAAGTGTTCAGGAGCCATAGGTGGCTGGTGGCTACCATACCAGACAGCTCAGATTCGGAGCATTTTCATCATGGCAGAAAGTTCTAGTAGCTAGCCCTGATGTCTTCAGTACAGCATATAAGCAACACACAGCTGACATTTAGAGTAACTGCTTGTCAACTGAGAACCGGGAAAGATCAATGCAGGATGCAATATTTTAGAAGACTTTAATAAGACCTTGAATTTATAGTTATTTTGACAGGTAAAAAGGACAATGAGGGATATTCAGTGGAGAAAAGAAGATGACACGTTTGGGGGAATAATGGCCTGTCTGGCTTAGGTCAGATTCCTGTTACAGACTAGAAAGCGTAAAGATACAGAGGTGCATTGGGGTGGAGGTTAAGGAACAAAACTATCAAGCTTAGCTGTATGTTCTGTATTTCACTAAATTCCAC